TAAGACGCTCTCCCAGAAACTGTAACTAAGGTCTGCTCAGCATAGTTGCAGTATAAACCACAGGTTGGCTTTGTGGGTGTTGAACAAACACAAATGTGCCTGAGCGAGAGTCTGCAATAGGGATTGTCTAGCCGCCCTAGTAGATGGATATCCTCGAATACGAATGTATAGCTATTATTATATATAATAGACAAAGTAAGAACAAACTGGAATAACTAGAAAGGTAATAGTGAAGAGATTGACACACTAGAAGGCAATTACTGTACACCGTAGATTAGCCAGTAGTGCCGTGTCCCTGCAGGACGTAGGCGATCATGACTCTCCACAGCTTCCTGTTCTTCCTGTTATTTTTTAGCTCTTAATAAATTTCTCCTAAACCCTGTTCTGCCATCCATTTACTCAAGCACGCTTGATAGGATATGCGTTGTTTACCTCTGTCCCTCTTGCTTTCAATCTGTCCTTTGAGCACCAAATAATGGCTCTCCACAACTTCCTGTCCTTTATAGCTCTTAATAAATGTTGTCTTTCTGTTATTTCTATTAAACTTTCGCTCACCATCCATTTACTCTAGTTCACTCAGTATTTGTTGTTTTCATTTGTCCCCCTTGCCTTTAATCTGCCCTGTGAGTATCAGATTTTCCAAACCTTCTGTTGTGATGATATAACCCAACTTCCCCATTCACGATAACGGACGGACTGGTTGCCGATTAAGTACGACCACAGCGGATAGTCAGAAGGTCTTCGTTTGTTAACACCTATTGAGGTTAGCTTACTCCTGACTCTGTCTCTGTATTTTGACATACCTACATCCGATTATAAAATTATTATTGAAAAACCAACACTCGGGTTTACTTTGTTTATTATATCTTGCACGAGATATAACACCTTCTATCTTCATTATGTGCCCTAGAAATTTAAACTGTCTCTTCACGATTTTTTCCTTTTTGTTTCCATTTTCTCTAAAACTTCATCGTTGCTCACATATTCGGCTCCTGGTATTCTCAGCATGTAAAACCATATTTTTGACGCTTCAAGTCTCCTCTACATTTGTGAGGAGATTTCCAGCATTCACTGTCATATAGGCGGACTGATATTAAATAACAGTTCAGCACACCTTTATTTGTTTATTTTTATACCGAGGATACCTGATAAAAGGCAATCACCGCACATTGTGCAGTGGTCGTCCAAGTGTCGGTAAGGATCGAAACCAGAGGTATTTGGCTAGAATTGTTTGCGTTAACATACAAACGACAGTGGATTATATCACCTCTGCACTAAATGCATAACTTACCAGACGCATATCCAGTTGGTCAGATGGGCACCTCGTGGTGGTGTAATGGTTAGCGAGCTTGTCTTGCTAGAACAGTTACGACTTTCGGTGCCACATCTGAGCTACGCTTGGAAAATCACTGTCCAGTTGGTCAGTTTCAGTACTTTTCAGCTTCCATGGATTATGAGAGCGGAAGACGCACCAGAATAATCCTGTTAATGGCACGGACACAGAGATTCACTTTGGCTCATGACGTCATTCAGTGGACTCTGGACGATACAACGTCTGAATGCATATGTGAGCAGTAATAAATTTTGTGCAATTTATATAGTTTCATTTTCACTTGTATTTTCTTGAATACAACAGGCAATGAGTATTTTGTCCATATTTTATATAATTTTTTCTTGTTTTTGTTCAAGAGAAGTAAATGACAGATTCAAGACCGTGTGGAAATTGTTCATAGGTCTTTCCTTTTTCTTTTCATTTTTTTTTTTCATCTTAAGGGAAAAAAAGGTATATCCGTTATTTCCTGTTTAGGATTAGTTATCCAGTTACTTCTAAAGTCTACTTCAACTCTATATTCCTAACGTCCCCGTCTGAATTGTGAAATTTTATTTGCTAATTATTTTTTTTCTCCTCAACAGCAGTAGATCGTCTCGCCTCCCCGGTCTTTTGAACAGGAGTAGAGGCTTATCCTTTGTTCCCTGTTTAGAATCTTTTCATTCTCTTTCCCACCAAGTAGTTTCTTGCGTCTTAGTGTCATTATCGCCATGCTTAAGCTGAATTAATTAAAAAATAATTGTCATGGTATGAGGAACCAAAATTGATGTTGTATTGGCGTTTCTTTTATAGAAAATTATGGTTTAAGCATTTCGGACCAGAAGACGACATTGAATAATTAGTTCAGCTCTTCGTCGTTTTGAAGATAGATAGATAGATAGATAGATAGATAGATAGATAGATAGATAGATAGATAATGAACACACATGAGATAGATAGATAGATAGATAGATAGATAGATAGATAGATATTGATGATAATTAGATAGATAGATAGATAGATAGATAGATAGATAGATAGATAGATAGATAGATAGATAGATAGATAGATAGATAATGAACACACAGGAGATAGATAGATAGATAGATAGATAGATGAATAGATAGATAGATAGATAGATAGATAGATAGATAGATAGATATTTAATAGAATTAGTCATTCTTTGTTATTACATGACATGATGCGTCGAAATTCTCCATAAATTTTATAAAACTTGATTATTACGGTTAATGAAAATTTTTCAGTTCAGTTGTTATTCTATATAATTGAATTTTTCAGTGTAATTATGATGCCAGAGGTAAAATGAAATCTCAAATTTAATATACGTTCATAATACTTAGTCTATAACCCACAGATATTTTTAATATCAACAAAATACATAATATTTTTTTTTATTTAACCGCACGTTTCTAGTTCATCTTTTCACAAAACAGGTTTTATTACACACACACACACACACACATATATATATATATATATATATATATATATATATATATATATATATATATATATATATTATCTGGTCTAGTATCACACTCAAGAAAGCGCAAATGAAATATGTCATTCCCTTCCCTGATTTCCTTCACAATAGCCCCTGATACCATGCATGTGTAAAACAAAAGGCACCATCAACTGCTGACCCTCATTTACCGTTCACGAAAGGAGAGTCCACCATATATATATATATATATATATATATATATATATATATATATATATATATATAGTTTGTTTAAATAATTTAGACGTATTATGTCTGTTTGTTTTTTAGTTTTATTAGTAAAGTCCACCACACACACACGTGTGTGTGTGTGTGTGTGTGTGTGTGTGTGTGTGTGTGTGTGTGTGTGTGTGTGTAGAAAAATAGGAAAGACCCGTTAGGTTAATAATCCAATGTTCTTTAGTATTTTTGTTTTTATTTTAGAAAACAGTGCTCGATACAATGGCGAAGACTAGCTGCTTTAATTTAATTTAATTTCTTAGTGGTGCATTGTGGGTATTCTATTATGGCGGTTATTCGTTTGTTTATTTATTTGGGTCAAATTATATTGCTCGTTTTTATTTCTTATTTTATTTATTTATTAACGTAGTAAAAATTTGTTTATATCACTTATTTAACAGTTTTGTTTTGGTTTGAGAATTTAATTAAAGCTATTTGTTCACTTTTGGGGTTGGTTGTTGTAGTTCATTCTAATTCTTATTTTTCTTATAACCGCCATAATAGAATACCCACAATGCACCACTAACCCGTATATATATAAATAGCCGAGAAAAATAACAGCATATGTGGCCTGACGATTGCATATAGCATGAAACAGACTGTCGCCTCTAAGTGTTGACTTCTATGTTCACTTTTATATTTACACACGCTCTATCTCTGATATTGAGCACTTTATTCCATAAATATAGCACACCTTAAGACTATATTTCTTCATATATATATATATATATATATATATATATATATATATATATATACGAATACAGGGTTGGTATAAATGGAATAAAATTCCAATAACCAAAAGCACTATTTTTTAAAAAGTGCTCAATACAAAGTAGAGCGAATAATATTTATTTAAAAATTATAACATAACCTTGTTATAATATCACTACAAAAATAGCCATTTTGTTTCAACACTATTGGTGCCTTGTCAAGTGATGGTGTTGATTGTAAAATAAAACGTTTAAAGAGTTGAAAATTTAATATTCGTAATTTTTATTCTTTAAATGCATAGTAAATTAATAATTAATTAGTTATACCGATTTCCAATCTAATCTAATACTGATATTAAAGCATGAATAAATTATATCTAAGGTGCGGAGTAATGGGTAGCGGCTCGGATTGTGGAATCAGTAGAGCCTGGTTCGAATTCCAGTCGAATCCATTTACGTTCGCTTACATGCTAATACCCTTGGGAAAGGTATGAATCCTCTTATCCTCTTAAATGGGTAAATAGACCAGGTTCTATAGCCAGAGCTATAGAACCTATGGGGAAAAAACTGCCTCGTCAGTCATGTATGGAAAGATACATAATAAAAAAATTACGAATTTTGAACTTTTTAAAACTTTTCATGTATCGAAAGATACATTATCGCCTAAGCGTGTATCATGCATGATACATAACTGAATGATCTAGGGTCTGTTGTCAAATTATTTGAATTATCATATAATGTGTTTTGATTGGCCATCATAACTTACGTAATAATGTTCCTCCAACTGCGAGGTGGTGGCTTTTTGAACTCTAGCCTGTTGCGGAAGAGCCTATAAAAATCCTTTCACAAAAGTCATACTTTTCCGATCTTAAAAGGAAAAAGTTGTTTTATTTTTCCTGACTATTTTTTATGGCCTCTGTTTTTAATTATTTATTTATTTATTTATTTTTCTCCACAGGTGACCCTTACTGCTCGACGCCGGCTTGCATCTCGGCAGCTGGTTCTATATTAACCGCCATGGATACGACAGTCGATCCCTGCCACAATTTCTACCAGTACGCGTGCGGTAGTTGGGTACGAGACAATCCGATTCCTGAAAACTACGTCAGTTGGGACAGATTTCAAGAACTTTCAGAGAAAAATTTATATCGTTTAAAAGGATTACTAGGTAAGTTAGTTTTTCTTATTTATTTTTCCAATACTCAACGGCTGGATATTATACATTAGGCGACCATCACCCTCGGAAGTTATTCCACGGTGGATGGCCGTTGTCTCTCCTATGTTTCCTGTCACTCCAATATAAAAAAGATATGAAGGACAGACTGTAGATCCACGTGTAATAGATCTCCCCATCTCCACGTCTTTGAAATGGAGTGCATAAACCCCTATATATATATATATATATATATATATATATATATATATATACAGATAGATAGATAGATAGATAGATAGATAGATAGATAGATAGATAGATAGGCAGGCACGTGGCCGAGTGAGTAGAATGAGACCCGGATTATATATCTTACTGTTCTTTCTTTATATATATATATATATATATATATATATATATATATATATATATATATAAATGACAAAGTGGGAAAAGTTTTCGCGTGACGCGTTTCGTTCTTTAGGATTTCATCGGACTAGGTTTGATTACGTTGATGCGACTATACATGCGCATGATAGATAGATAGATAGATAGATAGATAGATAGATAGATAGATAAATAGATAGATAGATAGATAGATAGATAGATAGATAGATAGATAGATATGAATTAGATACACTCATAGATAGATAGATAGATAGATAGATAGATAGATATGAATTAGATACACTCATAGATAGATAGATTGATAGATAGATAGATATAAATTAGATACACTCATAGATAGATAGATAGATAGATAGATAGATAGATAGATATGAATTAGCTACACTCATAGATATATAGATAGATAGATAGATAGATAGATAGATAGATAGATAGATAGATAGATATGAATTAGCTACACTCATAGATAGATAGATAGATAGATAGATAGATATGAATTAGATACACTCATAGATAGATAGATTGATAGATAGATATAAATTAGATACACTCATAGATAGATAGATAGATAGATAGATAGATAGATAGATAGATCCATCCATCCATCCATTATGAAAGAAATGGCGGCAAACTTTGAATATATGGGAAATAAAACGCCGGCTATCTGACTTCAAGCCCTTTACTTCTTTTTTGCATTCTTTATTCTATTTATACTTGTTTCCTATCATATCATTTGTCTGGCTTCCTCCAATGACATCCATCGGACATTACCTTTTCCTACTCTCACGTAGCAATATCTTCATTCTATTTCCGTCTTTACCATGGTCAACAAATTTATCAACTACTTTTATCTAATGGAAATCAAGAAAGAGACACGAAAGGAAAAGATATCTTTGAAAACGGCGGGTTTCAAATAGTTTAAGAAAACAAGAATTTCTTCCTTTCTGTTGTTGTTGTCACTGATGGTCGTTTTTTCCTCTCCTTTCCGCTTATTTTTTTCTGTCATTTCTATTTATTTTTTTTAGGTGGAAGAATTAGAAATTAATAGACACTTTATTTTGGTAGACAGCTGTTAAGTTGATAGCCTGCCACTGAATAATTAATTTCAATACATTCTTTAAAAAGTTGTCTGCTTTTGTGCTTACTATTCGTCTTTGAAATGTCTGAAATCATTTTGAAATATCGCAAACATGGAGTTATTTTTATATTTAAAAGAAAATCGTCTGAAAATTTGATTTATAACCCAATATAATTGAACTCAAACTTATATAATTAAAAATACAATACGTTCTCTATTATCCGTACATCAGTTTTCCGGAATTCGTCTACTCAGACGCTAAAGGAAGAGAAACACTTAAATCGTCCGAACATATCGGAATTAAATCCATTTTATCGTTTTAAGAATTTAATAAAACAGACAAACGTTTCGAGAATTCATGAAACCATCCTCAGCGTTTAATAGACTCACTTCAATTAATTATTGTTAATTTCTTCGTTGTTTTCATACAAAATAACTCACCTGGCACCTTTGCAATTAATATTAGCCCAAGTCCCAGGGAGCCTCTCCACACAGGCAGTACCTCTCTTTCGGGAGTAGGCTGTGATCATTACTCGGCGTCTACGGCGTCTCCCAAAGGAGAAGTGTCGAGTTGGCGAGGGAGGAGGTCTTGAGTAATTTTTGGACGGCTTCCCGTATTAAACCTCGATATACAGCGACGGGAGCATGTGCATGTGAGCATTCAAGGAACTTACCGTATTTTGCCGTTTATAAGACGCCCCGATGCATTAGGCGCCCTTTTCCCTCAAAAGTTTTGTACTTCTTAGCCCTCCCCACTGTCCCCAATGTTACCTAATGGATACCATATTTCAACACGAAGACCTGACTAAATTCATCACAGACCGAGAAATACCAAAATTATCGTAACTATTTAGATTGTTTCGGGTAGATGACGCTCGACAGCCCAGAAATGCAGTCCATCTAGTAGGGAGGAAAACCCTGAATTTAAACCTCCGCTGTCTTGCTTCATGTAAAACGCTATGGAAGTGGATCCAGACCAAATCTCCGGTGTGTAACTTCGAAAGCGGTTGGCTGTTATCGCTGACAACTTTCCGGCATCTCCTGCAGCCAAGCCGTCCCTGTAAATGTAATTCCCCGTATTCCTTTATCGTATTGGTCCGGCCGAGAGGGGAGAGGCCATGTAGTCTGGGCAATACAAGGCCTCCATATACTATCGCCAGTCTAGGAGAAGAAAAACTCTGAATTCAAACCACTTGCTCACTTGTACTGTACGCCTTGCCACTTTAACTTCTTAGAGGAGAAACGGATAAACTGAACATTCCCGTTGCAAAAGGAACTGGCAAGCCATTGCTCTATTCTGCCTTGAATGTCTCCATGACCCACAGTTGTGAGATGGAGGGGAGTGGTGACCAGAGCGGCGGCGAATAATGCGCTAACGGAATAATTGAATGACTAAATTTAGAATGTCGTAATTAGAAGAAAAGTTAGATTGCATAATACCGGTAAAACCTAACATTACTGCAGCCTGACGTGACGAATTCATCTCAAATCAAGATGGAGAACTAATTTAAAATTAGAGACATGTAAATTTGGATACAGAAATTAGTTTAAGTTTGATTTATGCGTCGGTTAAAAATAATGACAGTGCTTACCGTACTGGTAAATCCTTTTACCGGTATTATAGCTTGAAATTCTCATTAATGGCTGCTTCAACTGTTGTCGGGCTACTCTGTATTTGCTCCTCAATATTTGACACCATTAAGTATCGTAAGGAGGAGAACTTAATCAACCGAAAATACTCAGCATGTGCTAACGAAAGTGTGGTATACAGTAGTATTATTCTTAAAGTGTCGGGCATAAATGCTGCTGTTTTGTTCACAGGAGTTGAAGGAAGGAAGGAAGGAAGGAAGGAAGGAAGGAAGGAAGGAAGGAAGGACGGACGGACGGAAGGAAGGAAGGAAGAGGAAGGAAGGAAGGAAGGAAGGAAGGAAGGAAGGAAGGAAGGAAGGACGGACGGACGGAAGGAAGAGTAGGAAGGAAGGAAGGAAGGAAGGAAGGAAGGAAGGAAGGAAGGACGGACGGACGGAAGGAAGAGTAGGAAGGAAGGAAGGAAGGAAGGACGGACGGAAGGAAGAGTAGGAAGGAAGGAAGGAAGGAAGGAAGGACGGACGGAAGGAAGAGTAGGAAGGAAGGAAGGAAGGAAGGAAGGAAGGAAGGAAGGAAGGAAGGACGGACGGAAGGAAGAGTAGGAAGGAAGGAAGGAAGGAAGGAAGGACGGACGGACGGAAGGAAGAGGGGGAAGGAAGGAAGGAAGGACGGACGGAAGGAAGAGTAGGGAAGGAAGGAAGGAAGGAAGGAAGGAAGGAAGGAAGGACGGACGGACGGAAGGAAGGAAGAAGGGAAGGAAGGAAGGAAGGAAGGAAGGAAGGAAGGAAGGAAGGAAGGAAGGAAGGAAGGACGGACGGACGGAAGGAAGAAGTAGGAAGGAAGGAAGGAAGGACGGACGGAAGGAAGAGTAGGAAGGAAGGAAGGAAGGAAGGAAGGAAGGAAGGAAGGAAGGAAGGAAGGAAGGAAGGACGGACGGACGGAAGGAAGAGTAGGAAGGAAGGAAGGAAGGAAGGAAGGAAGAGGGGGATGGAAGGAAAGAAAAAAGGCAGGAAGGAAGGAAGGAAGGAAGGAAGGAAGGAAGAGAGAGAGAGAGGGGGAAGGAAGGAAGGAAAGAAAAAAGGAAGGGAGAGTGGGAGGGAGAGAAAGAAGGAAGGAAGGTGTTACTGTAGCAGGAATTTCCTTTCCTGTCAATATCCCAACGTGATAATGGATAGTGGTTTGGATTGAGGAATCGGAGAGCCGAGTTCGAATTCCAGTCGGACCCATTACATTCACTTACGCGCTAATACCCTTGAGAAATCTTCTTCTTCCCCCAGCAAAGGGTAAATAGCAGGACAAACCTGGCTCTATAGCCTTGGATGGCAACTGGTCTACAGCAGAAAGAAATGGCAACCTACCGCGGGAAAATAACTGCCTCGTCAGTCATGTATCGAAAGGTACATGATTGCCTAAGCGTGTATCACGCATGACACATAACTGACTGAACTGAACTAAATTTTCAGCAAGGTCTCATCATTTTACAGTCGAAATGACTAGATGTAATCGTAAGTTCTATGCTAACAGTTTCTTCTCTCACTTGGGGAACTCTTTCCCAGCTTGTTGCTTCCCTGTCAACTTTGATCTTAAAAGAATTTAAATACAATGTCAATCGCTATCTTCTGTCTTTTTTATTGTTCTCTCCCCTTATTAGTTTTTTTTTCTCATATTCTCTTATACTCAATAACCTCTTGCGTCCTACAAGCTTTATTGCCTTGCTTGGGGTGAAATGGTTACAACATAAGGGACGAAACGAGTCATATAAACAGCAAAATAGGCTACATTTGAATTATCACAGCGATCAGGCTGTTCTGGGTAAGACGATAAACTACATCCAACAGCAAGGCCTCTGATCAAGAGGCTGTGAGGAGTGTGGAACCACGTCTTAATTGCTGGTGTTCCCAGGTCCACCCTGACCCGGGGTGGTAGCACTTGTTAGGGTCCCAACTATGGTTAAATAGTTAACTCACAAACTGAGTTCACTATGAAGGTATGAAAATAGCTTTTAACTCCAGAAATACTCTGGAAAAAAAACATTAACAGCAATACATTTTTGAAAAAAAATATTACCAGCAATAAAAATCTTGTCGGCATTAAATAACCCATTAAGGTGTTGATATGCCATAAAACAAAACAAAACAAACAGCGACCCGGTTGTACAGCGCCAGAAAATAAAGAAGAGTGGGGATGATAATTGTCTTGTCCATGTTGAACAGTCCAAATACGCAATCTCGAACACTGATGCAACGATTATGCTTCAATTGGTTGCCCTTTAATCTAGAAGCTGCCCTAGAAGAAGACCCTTACAAATGAATCTACTTTAATCCAGTTTCGAGAAAAGAAAAAAAAATTGAAGCATAGGTTTCATAAAGAAAATAAACTTGACAAAACCTTAAAGCTGAGAATATTGTTTGTATGTGGTTCGGTCGTTTCAGTAGCGGGAAATTGGATCTGGAAGACGGTGAACGTTCTGACAGGATTGCAGTTGATGACCAAACAATGATTAAAAAATTATCTATTATTATTAACGATATGAGACATCACTAAGATACTCCGCATACCTCATATAACTTTGTAAGTCATTTAAAAACACTATGATCTTTGTGTCACATGATTTTAAAAAAAAAATTAAGGAACCATATCGATTCTATCTCAAGCGATGAGAAATAGACTGCTCCACTGCGTGGAGGGGGAAAGCGTTCTTGAAAAACGAAATAATTCACTGTTAACTACTGCATCTGAAGTAGGATTTGAAGCGTATTGTGTATTACGTACTCCTGATGCAAAATCAGAAGTGAAGTGATGTTTCCAACTGAAGCGATTAAAAGTAGCAATCTATGAAAAGCTTCAATCAACGTCAGGCCTTACGTTTCTTTGCAGATCTAGATAAAATTGGTACGACTTAACTGGGATGTGTTACTACACCCGCCATACTAACAC